GTATATACGTATATATGTATGAGAGAGAGAGAGATGTTGTGTTGGGCTCTTGAATAAAACTCCTGCTCAAGCGATAACGTGGAGGAACAACAATATTTCTTTAATACAGCTTACTCTTGTGACGTTTTACATGCCACACACGTCCTGTTTAGTGGGTAAGTACTGCCGCCTAGTGGCGTATGATGTACATCAATATAGATTACACCACATCCCCCTTACTGAAGTTAGGCTGGTACATTCTTTTGCTCTTCAAACAAAACATAACTGCATAATATTTTTTTTTCAATACAGACATACCCCAGCATTTCAGGAAACAGAAGCCGGGCTGTAGCCATTTGCCAGTGCTGTTGTTCTGTATGCCAGCAATGCCTTGTATGGATCGCTGGCTTTCTTGAGGAGATTTTTCATGGTCTGGACGCCCGTCTCCGCCTCGCCGTTGCTCTGCGGGTACCTGGGACTACTGCTGACATGCTCAAAACAGTAGTCCTTTGCAAAGTCTTTCATTTCTTGACAGGCCATTGTGGGACATTATCGGTAATCAATGCTTCAGGTATTCCATGGCGTGCAAATATTGACTTTAAATGCACAATCACATTGGCTGAACGAGTTGGGCTGAGTTGAGCAATCGCGACATATCGCGAGAAATAATTACTACCAACAGATAGTTTTTGTCTTTTAGTGTGAACAAATCAGCTCCTAAATTCTGCCATGGCCTCTCAGGTAAACGTGTGGGCATAAGAGGTTCCCTCACATTAACTCTCTCCTGTATGCACAGCCTGCACTTAAGGACAAGTTCACTGATCTGATTACTTAAGCCTGGCCACCACACTGCTTGTCGGGCACGTTCTCAGCACTTAACTACCCCTTGGTGACCCTCGTGTATTTTGTCCAAAACTGCATTTTGCATGTTTGCAGGTATGACCAACCTTGTGCCTCGCAGTAGTAGTCCATCGTGTACAGTCAAAACTGCTCTTTCTGACCAGTAGTGTTTTACTACTCCCTGCAGCTGGTTCCTGTCAGGCTAGCCCTCTGCACAGAACTTCATGACTTGGGAACAGACGCTGTCAGACTGTAGCTGCTCACGTAGATCTGCAAGGTATTTGCTGCTAGTAGGAAGGCCCTCCAGCACTGCGTCAACGTAAATATCGGTTTCCTCCATAAGATCATTGTCTCTGGGCATCACGCTGTCTGCCAGCGGTAACCGTGACAGCGTGTCGGTTGTGGTGAGGCTTTTGCCTGGAATGTGCCTTATAGTGTAAGAATACCTCCTCAGGCGAATCTCTGTATCCGCGGTGGAAGCAAATCCAAGGCTTGCCCTCCAAGTAGGCTCACAAGTGGCTTATGGTCGGTCTCAAGCTCCAAGTGTAGCCCTAGAATAAAGTCACTGAATCTTTCACAGGCCCAGGTGAGCGCCAGCGCTTCTTTTTCCAGCTGGGCATAGCGCTGCTCTGTGGGTGTCAATGATCGTGAGGCATATGCAACTGGTGACCACACGTCATTGTCTTTCTGTAGCAAAACTGCCCCCAACCCGTATGAAGAGGCATCTGCTGAGATCTTTTGGGGTTTGTTTGGGTCGTAAAGCTGCAGTACTGGAGCGGATGACAGTTCTTCTTTTAAACTGCTAAATGTTTTGTTGCTCGTGCCCCCAATACCACATGTTTTTAGTTGAAAGCAAGTCTCTCAGTGGTTTGTCTTTTTCGGAGAGGTTTGGGATGAATTTCCCCAGCTGATTCACCATTCCTAAGAAGCTCCTAAGCTCACTCACGGTGCTTGGCTCTGTCATATTCTGCACCGCACTAGTTTTGTCAGGGTCAGGACTCATGCCTTAAGATGACACAATGAATCCTAAGAATTTCACTGCTCTTTTGCCAAACTCACATTTTGACATGTTCAGGGTGACGCCAGCCTTCTCTGCACGGTCGAGGACAGCGTGGAGTCTCATGTTGTGCTCCTCTCTCGTGGATCCCCAGACCAGGATATCGTCCATGTGGCACACGACTCCCGCGAAGCCGGCTGTCACTTCCGTCACCATCATGTTTTGGAAATGCTCTGGTGCATTGGAAATACCAAATGCCAAACAACTGAAATGGTATCTACCAAATGGCGTAATAAATGTGGTGAGGAGAGCAGATTCTTTGGACAGCGGTATTTGCCAAAAGCCCACATTAGCATCAAGCTTGGAGAAATACTGTGCACCTGTGAGCATGCCTAGTGTTTGGTCTACAGAGGGGAGGATATACCTTTCACGACACACTGACCCATTTAATGGTGTCATGTCCACACAGATACGGACTTTCTCTTTGTCCTTTTTGGGGGATACGACCATGCCGCAACACCAGTCTGTGGGCTCTTCCACACGACTGATTACTCCCAACTGTTCCATCCTTTACAGCTCTGTTTTGACTTTGCCCAGTAGTGGCAAGGGAACACACCTTGGCACTTTCAGTGAATAAGGTTTAGCGTCGGGCTTCAGCTTAATCGTGTATGGTTTTTGAACAAGCCCGAGCCCATCACATAGTTTTGGGTACGCTTTCTTCACTGTCTCAAGGTCAACATTGTCCATTCGGGCAATTAGTTTCAGTCTCACAGAAGCTGTCCTCCTTAAGAGAGCTACACGCAGATTTCTGACTACATAGATTGTCTCTGTAGTGCTCCTGTCACTGTAGGAAATGTCCTCCTTTGTAGACCCAAGTACCGTCAGTGCTGCACCTCCTGGTCCATACAGTGGCTTTTCAGCTTTTTGCAAATGTTCATTTGGCTGCTTAATGTCTTTGAATGTCTCCTCTGAGATAGCTGTGACATCTGCCCCTGAGTCTAATTTAAATGTCATGCTTTTGCCTCT